GACAACAATTCCATTTTTGCCCCTGAAGAAAGGAGTAGTGATCAGCAAGACACCGGTCCTCCTCCTAGTTCCAACTCAAGGTGCTGTTCTGATGATGATTCACAAGCTGTTCATGTGAAGGACATGAATTTTGAAGCTTCTGCTTCTCAAGAATGTGGTAAAGCCTTCCCATATATCTTTAATTTTTTTAAATATATCTTTCTCTACCAGTTTCCTCATAACTGTTTCTTGCAATTTATATTGTAGTTGAGGATACAGACATTGATGACTCACCTCCTCCACCTTCCATTGATGGGAACTATCAAGAAGCTACACATACTGAGCCTAAAATAGATGACTCCATTCCTAATCAAGAACAAGCCATGGGTGCTCCTATTCACTATCATAACAATGGTTCCTCTTTCTACATGTTGACACCTGTCTTTTCACCTCCATCAATAGATGATGTTAATACATGGTTGCTTCATCAAGGTATACTTACACTTACACCTCTACACCTACACCCAACTTTTGATGAAATTTTACAAATTGTTGAGAAAATGTACTTATTTTGTCTCTTTCATGTTAGATGTTGTTAGAGAGAATACAAATGCATTAACAGAAGAATCTTCCACTTCTGCTGACATGTGTAATGAGCAGAAAACTAATTTGGATCATGGGAAAAATACTTCACAATCACAAGATATCTCTCAGATATCAGGTCCAGAAGGGAAAAACCTGACTCCTTTAAGTCAATCAGGCTTTAGGGATCCTGCAAGTATTGGTGCAGGACAACAGTTGACTATGTTTAGCATTGAGGTTCTCTTGATTTCTCTTTCATATTTTACTATTGTTGTTGATATGTTAGACTAATGTAAGACTTATTTACAGGTTCAAGCTGAATCTAGGGGAGACTTGAGACCTGACCCTAGATTTGATGCTGTGAATTTCATAGTAATTGTTATTCAAGAAGATGATGAATCCTTGATCAATAGTTATGTTCTCTTACGAAGTGAGACCACATCTGTTACAAGGTGCATCATTTTTAATTTTTGTAGATTCCAATTTGCTTAGAATTAATTCCATCATCAGTAAAAAGAAAAAGAATCAATGATCAACGTTTGTTTAACATAAACACGTTTTTTCACTTCATAAGCATTGAAATCCATTTTGCTAGAATAATTATAAGTAGACTTTTCAAATTCTGAACAGGAATCTAGATGCTATAACTGGTTGCAAGCTGTTGGTTTCCCCTCAAGAGAAGCAATTATTCAACAATTTCATGGAAATCATAAATAATCATGATCCAGATATACTAATAGGATGGGAGATTCAAGGTGGTTCATTAGGGTTCTTAGCTGAAAGAGCTGCTTATCTTGGAATTGGATTACTTAATAAAATATCTCGCACACCATCTCATCCCATTTCAAATCCAGATAAATCAACAATGACTGATTTGCCCCCTGAAGCAATAAATTCCGACATTGACCCTCCAAGTGATGCAGTTATTGAGGATGAATGGGGGCGAACTCATGCAAGTGGGGTCCATGTCGGGGGTAGAATCGTCCTTAATCTTTGGCGGCTAGTCCGCAGTGAGGTTAAGCTCAATATGTACACAGCTGAAGCAGTGGCAGAAGCAGTTCTCAGAAGAAAAATTCCATTTATTTATTTCAAGACATTGACAAAGTGGTTTTCTAGTGGTCCTGGAAAAGCAAGATACCGATGTATAGAATATGTTTTGGAAAGGGCAAAATTGAACTTTCAAGTCATGAATCAACTCGATATGGTATGTTTTCTTATTTTTGGAATCTAGATTCTGTTTTTAAATAAGATAAAGTTCATACATCTTTTTTCCTATACAGATAAACAGAACATCAGAGCTTGCACGTGTATTTGGTATTGATTTCTTTTCTGTTCTTTCAAGAGGTTCTCAATATCGTGTTGAATCTATGCTACTTAGATTAGCACATACACAAAATTATCTTGCAATTTCTCCTGGAAGCCAACAGGTTTACTTTTATCTTTAATCTTAAATCTTAATTTATCAGTATCAACTGATATAATTAGTTAATTACTAAGGTAATTTGTTGTCATCTAGGTTGCAAATCAACCTGCAATGGAATGCTTGCCACTTGTTATGGAGCCAGAATCTGGATTCTATTCGGATCCAGTTATTGTTCTAGATTTTCAGTCTCTATATCCATCAATGGTGATTGCTTATAATCTCTGCTTCTGTACATGCCTTGGTAAAGTTACACCTTCAAAACCAAATACACTTGGTGTTACTTCATATACACCAGACTCAAATGTTCTTCGTGGATTAATGCATGAAATTCTTCTTACTCCAAATGGTGTAATGTATGCCCCTTCAAAGGTAAAAAAACCATATTAGATTTGGATTAATTTGTATACAACGCTATAATAGAAAGAAATAAAAGTAATTTTCTATTTCAGATTCGTAAAGGCGTATTGCCTAGGTTACTTGATGAGATATTATCAACACGAATTATGGTTAAACAAGCAATGAAGAAACTATCTCCTTCAGAAAAAGTACTTCATCGGGTAAAATCTAATTACTTTACTTTACTCTTTGTAGTTAATTAAGGTTATGAACAAAATATGATATGAAATAATAAAATCTTTTGATTGGTTTCAGATTTATAATGCAAGACAGCTTGCATTGAAGCTAATAGCAAACGTGACATATGGGTATACAGCAGCTGGTTTTAGTGGACGAATGCCTTGTGCTGAGCTGGCAGACAGTATTGTACAATGTGGCAGAAGAACACTAGAAGCTGCTATTTCATTAGTGAACACACATGAAAAATGGAAAGCTAAAGTCATATATGGCGACACCGATAGGTAAAAAATAAGTTGTATTTATTTATTTATTTATTTTTGTGTTAATGTTGATAATTGATATTTGATATTTGATACGTGTGTTTTTGCAGTATGTTTGTACTTGTTCCAGGGCGATCTGTGAGTGAAGCTTTTGAAATTGGAAATGAGATTGCATCTGCTGTAACAAAGATGAACCCTAATCCAGTTGTATTGAAAATGGAGAAGGTGTATTACCCATGCTTTCTTCTTACTAAAAAGAGATATGTTGGATACAGTTACGAGAAGCCTGATCAAGTCAAACCTTTCTTTGATGCTAAAGGTATCGAAACTGTTCGCAGAGATACATGTGAAGCTGTATCCAAAACCATGGAATCTTCCTTAAAAAACTATTTCGAAAATCAAGATATTAGTAAAGTGAAATCATATTTAGTACGTCAATGGTCGCGTATTTTATCCGGAAGAATCTCAATCCAAGATTTCATTTTTGCAAAAGAAGTCCGATTAGGAACTTACAGCTCCTCTCGTATTTCCTCTCTCCCTCCAGCCGCTATTGTAGCCACCAAAGCCATAAAAGCCGACCCTCGAGCCGAGCCACGTTACGCGGAGAGAATCCCCTACGTGGTGGTCCACGGTGAACCCGGTGCACGCTTATCCGACATGGTAGTCGACCCGTTAGATCTATTATCACTAGATTCGCCTTTCAGATTAAACGACTTGTATTACATCAACAAACAGATAATTCCGGCTTTACAGCGTGTGTTTGGGCTTATAGGTGTGGATTTAAACCAATGGTTTTTGGACATGCCACGGGTGGTTAGGGAATTTGGTGGGAAAAACCAGGGGTATAATTATAATGGTTTGAATTCTCATAGGACTAGAATTGATTATTATTATTTGTCCAAACATTGTGTTATGTGTGGGGAGTTGGTTCAGGCGTCGTCATCTGTATCGCCTTTATGCGGTAAATGTGTAAGAAACGAAAGTGCTGTTGCGGTTGCGGTGACCGGAAGGACATCCAAGATGGAAAGAGAGATGCAACATCTTGCCGCGGTAAGTATTTGGAAATGCAACGTTTGTCGAAGATCTTGTACTGTGTTTGAACTGCATTATAGAGACTGTTTTGTCTTTGTTCCACCTAAAAAGGTGGAATAGAATAAGACAAAACATGATGTGACAAAAATTGTAATTTTTGTCTCATCCAAAAAAGGTGGGACAAGACATGCTAGCTTTTTGTGTCATTCATAAAGTTAAGACTAGACATGACATGATATAACAGACAGCCTGGACCCAGTGGGATAATCCAAAAAAACGGTGTGATTAATAAGTGGTTGATGTTATGTTAGATATGTCGGGAGTGTGGAGGTGGGGATTGGATTGTAGAAAGTGGAGTGAAATGCACGTCACTTGCATGCTCTGTCTTTTATGAAAGGCGAAAGCTACAAAAAGAGTTGAGATCCGTCTCGAGTGTTGCCACGGAATTAGGGTTTTATCCTAAATGTGTGGCAGAGTGGTTCTAGATCCCTTTTTGCCCTTGTATTCAATATTACATGTGTTGATAATTTAAATTAATAGTTTATATGTTCATAGGCAATGTTGCATATTTGGAATATAACATGTACATTGACGGGATATTGTCTTTTTGTTTATTTTATTATTATTTTTTTTGTATCTTTTTATTGTCATTGTAAAATATAAACATTATAATAGGAATATCAATTTCTGAGTACATAATTTTTTTTTTTTCAGTTCATGTATGCAAGACATATTGATGGCAAGCTGTTTCCCATTGAGGTCCATGTATTGTAAAGCTCCATTTCTTAATGGAATGTATTAGGTTCCGTTATAGTGAATATTGTTATTTGGATGATTTTAAGACACTTATTGTTTATGTAGAGAATTTATTCAGAAGGAACAACCAAAAAATGCCAAATTCTTATTTATAAAAAAAATGCTCTTTGACTATTCTTATTTACGAGTTCAAGAATTTTAATTTTTTTTAAAGGTCACTCTTATCGATTCACTTAATTATTACTAAAACGTAGTTAATTTTGTGATGCAAACACTAATTTTGATGAGCATGTTTATGAATTTAAGCTTTGTTGCTGCAAGGAAACCTGTGTCCTATCCATAAAATAAAAGTTCAGACGACAGATTGTTAGGCTTCATCGTCGACCCTTCGCATGGAAGATCTGCACAACACTCACGTAAAGCTGCTGGCTTTCGATTTCCTATCACTAACGCCGTCGTCTTCACAACCCAACGCCGTCTTCCGTAGAGGTACCCTCCTTCTTTCTCGTGCCGAAACCCTAGGTGTGGTTACTAGCCGAGAGCACAAACCCGACATATTCCTTAGATTCACCATCGATGATGGCACCGGGTGCATCCCCTGTGTTCTTTGGCTCAACCAGCTTACCTCCCCCTATCATTCCCGCCGTAGCCCACCAGATGTTCGATTAATTGCTGAATCCGCTCGCAATTTCGCAACCCTAATCCAAATTGGGGTTTCAGCTCGAGTGCGAGGCAAGGTTACGATTTACAGAGGTAAACTCCAACTTACTGTTTCTGATGTTTTTGTTGAAAGAGACCCTAATGCTGAGACTCTCCATTGGTTACAATGTGTTCGTTTGGCTCGAAAATGCTACGATATTGTACCCCCTTCGCTACCACCCATTACAAGAAAAGCTAATGATTGAGTTTATGCTATTGACTAAATCAGAAATCCCTTGTCTTGACTCTCGAGTGTGTGATTATAGGAGGGTAATTCACTTTTAGAAACGCAATCCAAATGCTCCTTAATTTGATGGATACAGTTATTGATGGCTCGCCTCCTCCACCTTTCATCGATGGGGATTATCAAGAAGTTAGACATACCGAGTTTAAAATTGAACTAAGGGTAGATTTTTCAAAGTGTGAATGCTTTAAGAACAAAATAAAAATTATAATGTAGTAATAGAAAGTATATTGCTATTTCTTGCATCTATCTGTTTTCATATATCAGGAATGTTTACTTGTTTGCCTCAAAATAATAGTGTTTCCTGCATTTTTTTTAATAGTTAGTCATGATAACTAATTTTTCACTCCAATATTGTTTTAGCATTTACTATCAACATCAAGGATTGTGATACATAATTAGGGTTTTATCCTAAGTGTGTAGCTGAGTGGTTCTAGATCCATTTCGCCCTTATATTACAACTTACATGTATTGACCATATATATAATATTATATAGGGAAATATAGTAATCTAACACATATAAAGAAGTCTTTGAAGAAAATAACCATATTGTCAAGAATAGGTGGTTGCAAAGCGTTCTCTAGAATACCGGAGTAAAGATTCTAGACGATTGTTCATGAATATTCATTTCTTTAAGACAAAATTGCAAAAATGGTCCCCTGTCGTTTGTCAATTTCTGTAGGTAAAGTAAAAAAAAAGTTTTTTAGCAAAAAAAAGTCCCTATTTGATGGTTTTATTGCGGTTTTGGTCCCAACCTCGTTAAGTTTAACAACATTGTTGTTAACTTTTGATAAATGATAGATTTACCCTTGGGACCATTTTTTGCAGTTTTATCTTTTTACCAAACTACAAGGACCAATTATGCAATTTTTCTTTTTCATTTTATTGAATTATTATATATTAATTATTTTATTTACTTTTTTCTTTTTAACTTTTTTCTTGTATTATTTTTTATTGGATTATTAAATATTAATAAATAATATTTTTAATATATTATATTTATATATTAATAAATATTACTATTTTTAATTATTTTTTTTTGAATTTCTTCTTTATTGCATTAATTTTTTATTGGATTATTATATATTAATAAGTTTTTTTTTTTTTAACATATAACATTTATCTATTAGTAAATGTTACTTTTTTGGATTATTAAATTCTTTTAATTATTTTTTTTAATTTTTTTATTTCGTTAATTTTTTAATTGGATTATTATATATTAATAAATATTATCTTTAATATAATATAATTATATATTAAGAAATATTACTTTATTATTATTTTTTTTTAATTGATTTTTTTTAATTTCTTCTTTACTTAATTAATTCTTTTTTATTGGATTATTATATATTAACAAATATTATTTTTAGCATATAATATTTATCTGTTAGTAAGTGTTACTTTATTGGATTATTAATTTCATTTAATTATTTTTTTAAAATTTTTTTATTGCATTAGTTCTTTTTATTGGATTATTAATCTAAATTTATTATTTTTATTTATAATAAATAATATTTATTTAGTTGTTTTTATTTTATTTTAATTTCTTTCTTTATTGTTTTAAATAAAAATACCAAACACTCCAGGTCAGCTCATCCATTCGTTGCATTTTACCACCTTGCGTCGTTGTATTATCTCACTGGAAATCATCGATCATCGAATACGGTCGGCCATTCTCAATGAAAAGTACACCAGTTGACTACCCACACAATGTGAAATAAACCCTAGAAAGCATACTTCCTCCAGCCGACCATTATTGCAGATAGCACCATCGATGATGACAATGTTAGATCGAGGGTTTTCAAACCACCATAGCCACTACAGATGGTGACAAAGTTGTAGAACTCGTTATTCGGTACTTGTTCGACCAACCGCCGAGTAGCGAATACTCAGATTTGGTAATTCATGTAGAAATATTTTAGGGAAATTATATATGTCAAAATCATAAGTTTATTGAAATAAATAACAAATTTAGATATATGCGGATATACAAAAACTAAAATACACACGATGATCTCACTTTGTAAATAATTACTGAACTTATATATATATATATATATATATATATATATATATATATATATATATATATATATATATAGTAACAGGGTTGGAGACGGCTCGATAGTGGTTTGTTGTGACTGAGTAATGGTTGTGGTGTTGTCCAAAATATGCTATCTTCTAAATATTTAAAATAAATTAGAGAATGTGGGGTGGGTATGATTTTTTGGTATTTTTATTTGAAACAATAAAGAAAGAAATTAAAAAAATAAAAACAATTAAAAAATATTATTTATTCTAAATAAAAATAATAAATTTAATTTAATATCAAATAAAAAGAACTAATGCAATAAAAAATTTAATAAAAATTAATTAAATAAAATTAATAATCCAATAAAATAACACTTACTAACAGATAAATATTATATGCTAAAAATAATATTTTTTAATATATAATAATCCAATAAAACTTGTTCGGCCAACCGCCGAATAGCGAATACTCAGATTTGGTAATTCATATAGAAATATTTTAGGGAAATTATATATGTCAAAAGCATAAGTTTATTGAAATAAATAACAAATTTAGATATATGCGGATACACAAAAACTAAAATACACACGATGATCTCACTTTGTAAATAATTACTGAACTTATATATATATATATATATATATATATATATATATATATATATATATATATATATATATATATATATATATATATATATATAGGTTTAGGTTTATTTGAGACCATTCTAATTTTGTGAGACCGTGAGACCAAATCTAAAAATAATTTTAAAATGCAAAATAAATGGAAAAATCCAAAAATTCTTTTTTTAAATATTATTTTCGGAACTTGAATTAACTAAAAAAAATAAAAAAAATCCGTTTTTTTTTTGAAAAATACGTGAAACCTAAATAGAATATTACACTGACATATTCTAAAAAATAATTTTAAAATGCAAAATAAACGGAAAAATCTAAAAATTCTTTCTTTAAATATTATTTTCGGAACTTGAATTAATTAAAAAAAATAAAAAGAAATTCTATTTTTTTTTAAAAATACGTGAAATATTCTAAATAGAATATTACACTGTAAATATTCTAAAAATAATTTTAAAATGCAAAATAAATGGAAAAATCAAAAAATTCTTTTTTTAAATATTATTTTCGGAAAATGAATTAAATAAAAAAAATAAAAAAAAATAAAAAAAATAAAAAAATGCGTCTTACGGTCTCACAAAAGATAAGTGGTCTCAAATGAACCTAACCCTATATATATATATATATATATATATATATATATATATATATATATATATACCATTTATGATTTCTAGGCACAATTTTTGTTCTTCAATTTTATAACTAGAAAATGACTAGTTTTGTTTTTAGATAACGTATCTGTTTGTAACGAATTTTAATACTTGCTCTTATGAATCGTCTAACATCATGAATATGATTATTGTTTAAATCTGTGCCTTGATTATTAAGTTTATAAGAATCTTTAAGATTTTGCTCAGAGTTATTAATAGATTCTTGGATTTGCTGTATTTTTAAAAGAATATTTCTATTAGGAATACAATTCATCAAGATTTTGCTAGACATAATTAAATGATTTAACCATGAATTTGATTAATTTGATTATTAAAAACGAGTACTATTTTAACAAAAATTTCAAATCTAGTATAATTAATAGTTAGAATAACTCGAAATGAAATTATCATAAAAATAACACAACGATAGAATATTTTAGATAATACCTTCTTGAATTAGGCTTGAATTACAATCAGTACATACTTCTGGAGAAAGAATTATTTGAAAATCTAAAGACTTTGAACATCTACTAGTAGAAAGAGAGACTCTTGGAGATTTTTTAGACATTGGATGAACATTTTTTAGAGAATGAAATTTTTTTCTTGTGTCTTCAACTAAAGGATAGCCTCTATTTATAATCATCTTGGAGTCTTCAAAGTCTTGAAATCTTCTTGTGATAATGTTTGCCGTAAGAATCCATGGCCAATCAATAATTATTTGCAAGTGGTTGTCCTTGAAAGTGGTTGTCATTCATCTTTTGAAACAATTGTCGTTTGTAATCAATAACCATCTTCTTTTGATAAAGCAAGCCATTATAGAGCATCTTCTAAAGTTTTTTGTCTTCATATCATCATTGATTATAGATTTGATAATAATTTTGATAAAAATTGTTTATACATAAATAGATGAATACCTACATAGTATACATGTATTCGTACTTGAAAAACGAAATTTTGATAATAGAAAAAACGAAATATCTGACATTTAAAGTATTACATCAAATTTATAGATAATGATTTCTTATTCTTCATAAGGATCATCAAAAGGGTCTTGAGCGTCTTCAAATAAATCATTCTTTATAGATTTTGGAGAATCGTCAGAAACTGATGGAGTTTGGCGAATTTCTTGAAGTAATTTTTGAAGTTCTTGAGGAGAAGAGGTAGCAGCATCTTTAATTCTTGCAATTAGATCCACATCACTTTTGGGAAGACTGTTGATAAAAGTGGCTTCGACTTCTGGTTTTTGAATATATATTTCTTGATAATGTTTAATTACTGCTTGTTCACTAGCTTGAGAAATCTTCATTTTATCCCACCATTTTGAGCGAAATTGACGATTAAGCCAGGGAGGAGAGGAGTCCTTTGCTTCTTGATAATGAAAAGTCCAAGACATTATCCATGGAACTTTAAATATCATAGTGAATTGTAACATGTATTCAAATTCTGGAATTTGTTGAATAAACAATTCTTTAAATTTGAGATATCCATCGTAAATTTCTTTTGGTAAACAATTTGGAAGAATACCCATATATTTGTACCAATTGATAAACCATCTTGGATATTCACAATTGAAGTTCAAATCAAAGAAGATAAACCATGAATGTGAATAATTCCGAATAAAGAATGCCTTAGTCCAGGCGTCTTGATAATCATAGTAAGAAAATTTGGGATAAGCAGGATAACTTATAAGAGGTTTTTCAGAGTGAAGGTTTGGAACCCAACTTTCTGGAGAAATGATTTTGATAATATGAGCTTTGCTAAAATCAATGTTTCCCTCTTTAGAATTAGAACGATGAACAAAATTGACTGAACCAGATTTTTGCAGAATAGCTTGATAATATTCTCGGGTTTTATATGAATCAACATAAAAGGTTTTTCCTTGTCCAAAGAGATGATTGGTGAGAATATGAAAACCTTGGTGTAACTTATGGATTTGAAAATCTTCAAGAATTTGAACTCTTAAGAAATTTGGATTAAGAACATAAGGGGTTTTTGTAGAAGGGCTAGGAGTAACAGATTTTTGAGTTTGAGGAGTGATAGGTTTTGCAAAAGGGCTTATTGTGTCAGTTGAAGCAACTTTTGGAGTAACAAGTTTTGACTGAAGGATATTAGAATAAAGTTGTGAATTCTTAGAAGTAGGTGTTAAAGGAGAAAAACGATTTTGATTTTGAAATGGAACTAGCTTTTGAGA